GAGGGGAGCCGGGCCCGAGCGTGGGCGGGGGAGGGGGACAGGGGGGCTACCGGGGTGGCAGTTGCGACAGTCAGGCGGCGAGACTCTCAGGAGGGAGCCGTGCACCCCAGGGCGGCGGAGGGCGGGAGATGGTGCTGGGGCGGAGACGGTGTGCTCCTAGTTGCGGGACCCGCCCGCCTCGCCCCTCTCCTCGCCTCAGCCGGTTGTCCCCAGCCGCCCGGGGCTGTTCAGAGTGGAGGGCAAGGAGGGGCGGGAAGAAGAGGGGAGCGGGGTAAGGCGGGGAGAGAGGAGTTGGTTTTGGGGGGGAGGCTGACTGGGAGACGTTTGACAGGTTTGTTGACTGTAAAGATAGAAAACTTCCCAGGAATGAGGGAGTTTGGGGGGGGGGACAGCTCGGAGGGAGATACTGATGGGGATCGGGGAGGAAGTCGCTCAGTGGGGATATGTCCAGCTTGACTGCCGTCCCAGTGGACCTTTGAGGGGTCACTTCTTGTACCCAACTCTGCGTCATACGCCCCTTCCTCAGCCTGTCCCGGAGTAAGGACTGGAGCCCGAGTTCCTCCCCAGCCATCCTGCCGCATCTAGCCAGCGTTAGAGAGCGAACGGTAGTGGGAGATTAGACCGCATGGGGAGCCCCTCCAGGGCCTACGCTCCAGCGCGTTAGGATGGATGAACTAGGCGGAGGGCGGAGATTGCAGACTTCCAAGAGACTAGGGGTCAGCTCTCGCCTAACCGGGGCTCGCTTGTCCACACGGGTCCCTTCCTCCCCCAACTTGGCCGGGGCAGAAGGGGTGGGAGAGCCAGCTGCAGGTGAGATGGCGTTTATCTGATTCTCTAAAGCCACAAAAATGTCTTTGATGCCCCTGACCTCCTCCCCACGGGGGGGGAGATCAAAGGCCCGGTGGGGAGGAGGGACAGCTCCATTCATCAAGTCAAGCGGCTGGCAGCGGGCGGCAGCTTCTGCTCCTCCGGCCCGGGGCAGAGGCCCCCGACGTGCCCCAGGAGTTCCGAGGGACAGGTGGTGCCGACATTCCGAAGCAGGAGCCAATTTCCCTGCCACCACCATCTACGGGGCCATCAACCTTAAAGGGAGGACCTCAAGCCCACGTGGCAGAAATTTCAGGCACCAGGGAGAAAGTTTCTTGTTGTCTGGGGAGGGGAGGATTTAGAAATGGAAACCGAGACCACTGCCAATATAGACAAGCATCCCTAGTGTGCAAAGAAGATGCAAGGTCCTGAGTCCTCCTGAGAGTGGAGCAAGTGGATGGAGGTGAGGCTCTGAGGCAGATAGGAGAAACAGACTGCAGATGCCCACCCCAGGAGAGGGGTGCAGCTCTGGGGAAAGAAGATGAATGTATGAGAGAAGAGACCGAGAAAGCTTGGCCTTGGATTTTCTCGAAGCCCCAAGAAGGTGTGCCAGTGCAACCCTGGTACGGAGTACTGAGATTGGGGGCCGGGGAGGGGGTGGAGGTGGGGGGTAACTCTGCAGAAGGAGGAGCAGAGGGGAGCAGCAGCTCCGGAGAAAATGGTCTAAGTGCTGTACCTCCCATTCTAGCCTTCTAGCACCTACTGCCCTGACACCTAGCAATGCTGTACACAGTTGTTTCTGCTGGGCACTACCAATCCTGGACACTGCCCATTCAAAGACTTACTCAGGTTGGGCTCACTGTTAGGCCAGATGGTGCTAACCAGGCAGGTAAAAAGTTGGGGGTGGGGGTGGTCCCTGGAGGCTGCAGGTGGCCAATGATCAGCCCCTTGGGAACCAGTACTTGGGTTCCAAACCCCAGCCCCCACCCTGCTACTGTTATTGCAGATTATGAAATGCTCTCCCGGTCCTGCATTCTTCTCCGAGGCAAGAATTTTAATGTATTTGTCTTTGTCATCAGGGGACCTGGGCTCTGGGATCGCCCTGCCTCTGCCTGTGGACGGAGCGCCCCAAATCCTATCGTTGCTGATTCCAGACCCCAAGCTCTCTCTGTTACCCCACCTCCCCCCATGCCCTGGCCTTGCTCCTTCCCTCCCCCTCCTAAGACACAGTCTCTCTGTGGGGTGGATAAAAATGATGTTATTGAAACAACAGAATTGGGAGCAGTGGCAGGGAGCAAGGATCAGCTCAGGAAACTGGGGCGTTTGCCAAGAAGCCTGCTCCCCCGCAGGCAGTCTTTCTGCCCCCACCTTTCCTCTAAACACACACACAGTCGCCCCACCCCTCCTGCAGTGATTGCTCCAGCCAGATCTTGCAGGATCTTTAGCCATCCTTGGACTATTCAAGCCCTGGTCTGTCCTTCCCCCTACAGTGTCTCATTCCAGAATCAGTTGGCACAGTAGCACTTGCAGACCCGTTAGAGCAGGGGAGGCTCTGGCCTGAGTCTGTGACAAGACAGGCCCCCTGAATACCCTTTTCCAGAGTCTTGGTTGCAAGGACAATCTTGCTTCTACCTACTCCCCTTTGTCCTTTGTGCACCCCCATCAAAGGGTTGGTTGGTACCTAGACAGAACCAGAGCAAAGACTTGTCTGTCTGTACCCTCAAGCCTTCAGAAACCTGAGTTTAGATGTTTTGGAGGTTTCAAGCCACCCCTGCCATGTTAAATTTTCCAAAGACCAGAGCTGGAGACTGAGACACACAGACAGATGGATATGTGTGTGCACACATGCACACTCACATACCACCAGAGGGCATAGGCAAATGGATAACCCCACAGTAACCATGTCCTTGCCTCCCTCTACACAGTGCTAGGTAACATTCACAGGTGGGTACAGATGGAGAAAGATGGGCTGGCTGGGGCTGAGATTTATACCAGCCTTCCTGAGGATCACATACATGTATACACACACACACACACACACACACACACACTCACACACGTCCTTCTGCTCAGATGCCCATATAGAGACACATGTACAAGAGACCAGATGGAAAGAGAGCAGTGCAGAAATGTGCAGCCTGAGTGGGGAGATGCCAGTGGAGGCACTTGCTGTTCTGTAGGTTCTGTGGTAGCCTCCACCTCTTCCTCTATCTCTCCACCTTAGTGCTGTGAACCTGTAAATTCCACTTCTAGGCCCTGGTGCAAAGAAAGACCCTGAAGGAGCAACTTGGGTGTCTGGCTGTGGGGATGAAGAGGAAGGAGGGGCAGAGGTGGGGACTGTGGAGGAAAGAGAGGCAGCTGGAGACAGATAACATCAAACCGCTGCAGGGTGAAAGCAGAGCCCTCTGTCTCCATTGGATTTTCTCTTGCTGCCTTTTTGTGTCTTCATGTCTCTTCCACATTCAGAATCCAGTCTCTAAATCACTTTCTCTGTGTGTTTTTTTTCTCAAAATGACTGAAGCTGCAGGAGCCCAGGAATTTAGGCCCGTGACACCTCCCCTCCCAACAATCTCCCTTCTTTCCTCTTTCCCTTCCTCTGTCCCTCCCTCCCTCCTTCTTTGCTTCCCTAGCAGTGGGATCTAATGCTCATTTTCGGGGAGGTAACAGAGCTTGAGAATTCCTAAGAGCCCTGGGTCTCTGGGTCCCTGGAGAACAGAGAGAGGAAAGGCCAGTCCTCTAGAGAGATGGGAGTGAAGGGGGAAGAGAGAGAGGGGGGGAGAGAGAGAGGGAAGAGAGAGGGGGGAAGAGAGAGAAAGAGAGTCATTTCTTTCTCTCCAGGTATCCCTGACAGTTCTCTTCAGCTTCCCTAGCCTACCTAGTATCCTCAACAAGTGCTTTCCAGTGGAAGGGTCCCACTCTTACCCTTGTCTTACCTGCCTCACAAATTCACCTCCCAAGGAGATTTTCTCTGAGTCTTTGTCCACAGGAACTCCCACCACTTCCTCCAAGTCCACCTGCTTCACATCTTCTGTATCACTCAACTCTATTCTTTCTCCCAACCTTCCAATTACATTAGGGAGAGAAAGAATCTACCCAAGAGAATCTGAAATAAGGGGCAGGGCATAGGAGCAAGGGCTAAGGACTGAGTGGCTACTGCTGCCCACCAAGGCTGGGCTGGGAGGATGCCAGGGAACATTTCACTTAGCTCAGCTCCAGCAGATCACAGGGAGTGGTTAGCCCCATGGGCCTCTAAAGCCATCCTGTTCCAGGCTGTCTCCTGCAGAGTGTTTTTGTTTTATTTATGTATTTGGTTTGTTTTTTGTTGTTTTGTCTTTGTTTTTATGGTGCTGGGGCTGATGCTTGAGCTGAGGGCCTCAACCATGCCAGGGAAGTGCACTATCACTGAGCATTATCCCCCAGTCTGGCTTATGTGGTTCTGACTGGAAGGCAAGGGGCAGAAGAGCTTCCTCTAGTCTCACTGCTCTCACCTTAGAGAGTCGGAGCTCCTGAGCCCAGGTCTCCAGAGCCAGTTTCTATCCTGGTTATATTGCTAGCTACCTTGCAGCAAGCAGTCCCTGCTATGTGCTGGGCACCCAGCTAGATAGTGAAGAGATAATGGTGTCCCTCCTCATGGAGCTAACTAACACTAATCACAGCACCTCCAAAAACAGAAGAAAAGCCACACCCTTGACAGCATCTGGGGAGATGGGAAGAGTCTAGAAGAGTTCTAGGAGACACTAAGCACCAGGAAGTTAGGTTTCTCCAAGGAGTGACTGTTCCAACTGAGATCCAAGGGAACAATCTGTATGCTTGGGAGGGGAGAGCATTTTAAGCAAAGAGAATAGCCATTGAAAAGTCCTGTTGGGAGCCTGGAGGGGGACAGGTGGAGTCAGTGAAGAAGCTGAAAAGAGTGTAGCGCCTGGTGAGGGATTAGGCTGGAAAGACTTGGAGGTGCTCAGATTAAGCAGACCTTCCTGGCATGGAAATGAAATTTTTTACATTACTGCTTTAAAAGCAATGGGAGGGGACTAGAGAGATGGCTCAGTGATTAAGAGCACTGGCTGCTCTTGCAGAGGACCAGGGTTCAATTCCCAGA